AACCATTAATATATATATATGTGTATATATATATATATATATATATATATATATATATATATAAACTCTAAAACGCCTTTATTAATCTTTATAAAATTTTGGATAAAAATACTTCAAACTTATATCTCAGTTTACGTGTTCGAGGGTTTTTCGAGAAAATATTTTTAAAGCCCTTTTATTTAATAATAAAAAACGTTCGAAAAATAACTTTTAGGGAATTCTTTTTAAGTAAATTAAAAATATGCTGTTAAAGACCGTATTTTTGTTAGTATACCCTGAAAATGTACAAATCAAATAAAAAGTAACGAAGCTTCAGATATTCAAAGTCGTTAGATTTTTTTACAGTTGTTGCAATAGTTATTGCCGATACTGTACATAATTCTTAATTTAGAAGTTCTAAATTAGAACACAAAATTTACATATACTGTAAGAAATTAGCGTTAAACTGATAAATAACCTTAATTATTAGTATTTAAATGTGAAGGTAAATGTTGGTGTGTATTAGTGTGCTACAAATTAAGAACCCTGTATATTGTTCTTTCGAGAAATAAAAAACATATACCTGTTCCAAATTCTATTAGTAAACAAATTGTATATAAAAAGCAAGAACAATTTCTGTGTAAAACGGTAATCGTAAAAATGTCAATACAACAAAGTCGTTTATCTTTCACGAAAAAAAAAAAAATTGAAGGTAGCCATACTGCTTAAAATATAAAATTGATAAGTGTAAATGTTTTCCGGCCATCTTTCAGCGTACGTGTATGACTAGAAAGGCAAACTTACTAAATTTGTAAACATCCTCCTCCAGCGCACTTCATTTGTAAACAGAACACAAATTTGAATGGTATTTACCTATAAATTATTAATTTTTAGCCTTAAAGGCCGAATAGGAAATGTTGGATATGTTGCGCAAATATTATTTCCTGCAGCTTCTTCTAAACAAATAAAATCTATAAGGAAATTTAATATTTATAAAATATTTGAGATAATTAAAATATTCTTTATAAAAAGCAAATGGTGTGAAAGAAATTAGGCTGTGACTGTTTTTTATTTAAATTATTTTTAATTAAAACATGAATTTCAGTCTGTATGTAGCAATAGTAATAAGGATTAATTTTTGATAAAGGATATATAAATTCATTAAAAGGCACTTTAAAATTAAATACACAAGACGCTTAATATTTACTTCTTCGCATTCCCGTCCATTCAACCAGAAGGACAGGAATGTACTCTAAATTTAAGTAAGCACTTCCTGGCATTTTTCTTTTTTAAAAAGCTCTAAAATAATGACATTCCTGGCGACCATTTATTCTCGTAATGCTATGAAACGTCTGAATATACTTCTTATAACGCCAGTTAAAAAAACGGATTCAGTACGTTAAATACGTTTTCAGCTGTACCCGTTTTCATAAATGAAATTCTTAAACGATAAATTTATTTTGCAATATTAAATGTAAAACTATAGAATATATACAGGGCTTTTAATGAAAAACCCTTAATAATTTTTGAGTTATAGTTAATATGATCTTGAGCAAAAACAGGTCGATTCAGATATCGAGGGGGAAGTACTACCCTTTTAATTAAAAATTTTAAATGGTACCCTATACCTTGCGACACATCATTTTAAAGGAAATTTAATATCTGATCTATTGAAAAAATTAAAATCCCATCACGGATTTGCAAGAGCCAAAAAAAGGTGTGATATAAATAAAACGAAGAATTCCATAAAAAAATTATTTTACATTTTCAAAATGTGCTCCGTTATTATTGTTACTCAATATGTTGCAAATGCTTTTGATAACAAAAGTCAGGTAGATACTATATATACGGATTTCTCGAAGGCCTTTGACAAGATAGATCACAGGATTTTAATTCATAAACTAAAATTTTTTGGAACCCTTTGGTTTCTTTATTTAGATCTTATTTATGCCAACGTCAACTTTATGTGTTTCATAATGGATTTGTATCCAACTTATTTTCAGCAACTTCAGGTGTGCCTCAAGGCTCTAACCTGGGTCCACTTATGTTTTTAATATTTATAAACGACCTACCGTCTAGTTTAAGTGTCCCTAATTTACTGTTTGCCGATGATTTAAAGGTGTTTTTGCTCCATTCAGGATTGTTTACTTTGACAAGAAACTTTAAATCATATTGAACATTGGTGCAATTTAAATAACCTCTATCTCAATGTTGCAAAATGTAAAATTTGTACATATACTCTTAAATTTAATCTTATTGAGTTTAATTATTCTTTGAATAACCGTAGTCTATCGCGTTGTACCAATATAAAAGATTTAGGTATTACATTTGATCATAAATCTACATTTTCAGACCATATTATAAACATAAATAATTCATCTATAAAAATGTTAGGTTTTTTAATTAGAAATTGCAAATCATTTAAAAATATGAATACTCTTAAAACTTTATATTTTACTTTGGTTCGGTCCAAACTGGAATATGGTGCACTTATATGGAACCCAAACTATAAACCTAATTGAGAGAACGCAACGAAGATTTTTAAAGTTCTTATGTCTTAAAATTGATGGATTTTATCCGGAGGGGGGTTTTGATAACATATTGTTATTGCAAAGGTTTAATGTGCCTTCCTTAAAGCAACGCCGTGATATTTTGTTCCTTAAGTTATTGTACAACTTATTTCACAAAGTGATTGATTGCCCTGACTTGCTGTCACAATGTAATGTTTTAGTTTCAAGACTTAGCGCTAGGGTTAATTTGTATTTTTATTCATTTGCAAGAACTAATGTTGGTTCAAGATCCCCTGTTTCAGCCATGTGCAATATTTTTATTAGAATCTCTAATTATTGTGATCTTAATTATGATTCATTGAAATTTATCACTAATGTTAATGTTGAGCATGGTAGTGAATAGAATTTTTAATGTTAAGTTTTCATTATTTTATCTTTATTATTTTTAGTATATGTATGTTTAGGTAATTATGTATTTGTTATTTGTCCTGTAATTGGAATTTTTCTGTTGGGCAACAAACATTATTATTATTATTATTATTATTATTAATAATCTGTTCTCAAACTCTTGTCGAACTTAAAGAAACATTTCAGGAGTTATCTGGCTACATGCTTGAATTATTCTTTGTTAGAGTTCTTGAATGTTCTCAGGTGGTGTTTTGTAGACTTGTGTTTTTTTAAATGACCCCAAAGAAAAAAAGCAAGTGGGGTTGAATCTGGAGATATTGCCGGTCATTCTTCTCCCAATGGTAAAGCATAGTGAGGAGGAGCTCCATCTAGTTGAAAGTACAAATTTCTTTTATCAAGCACCATGTTTCCTTGTTCGTCCATTTGATTTTCTAATGACTTGGTAATAAGTGGATCTATAACATTTTCAAGAAGATCAAGATATAATTGTTCAGTCAAGTGGTCTTCGATAAAAAGCGGTCAAATTATTTCGTTGCCAAGAATACATACATTGATTTTTTGAGGATTTGATCCTCATGTGAATTTTAATTGTCCCATTACCTACAATCCTACAATTGTGTTTATTTACAAATCCATTTATCGGTAAAACAAATATTTTTTAATAAATTGGGAGCAACCACAATTCTTTGCGTCATTACCTCACAAAACTTTATTCTTCTGTCGTAGTCATCTTCGCTGAGTTGCTGACACTTTTAAATTTTGTAAGGGCAAAACGTATTTATTTTTAGCACCTTATAAACAAAACCATAGAAATATTTGTTAAAGCAGATACTTTAAGAATGGATGTGGATCACACTGCAAAACGAGCGATAACTTTAATTTGTGCAGCTTTATCCAGTATACACGAGTGTATACACCCGATCTTGTGTGTTTTCTGTTGCACAGTTTCCTAAATTTTTTCACCAGGTTACTGACGTATTGCCTGGATGCCCTTCATTAAAAACGCGTGAGGCTCTACGAGCCCAGGAATTAAATCCGTAAATAAAAATTAATTCAGTTCTTTCTATACACCATTATTTTGGTAGTTTGATGTATCAATACAAATATTTTAACCAAACCGTGTAGCAACTCTGCTATAGAGGTAAATTAAAACGAAGCAAATAAAAAAAATTTTTTTATCGGATTTTATTGCATTAAAAATTGCATTTCCTTTAAAATGATGTGTCGCAAGGTGCTTTATATATTGAATATTGAAGGTGAGAGGGTGCAACATAAAATTTGTTTAACACTGGATTTCAACTTCATCTCGATATCATATTTATTACAACTCAAATTAAGGCTAGTTTTAATGGAAAGCCCTGTATATATTAAATGTATATTTAAAGTATAAATTATGTTGGATGTAACGTAAGTTGCAAAGCAATTAAAAACATAAACAAGTTATTCCAAATCAAAATCAGAATTAAAATCTTAACGTTCTATTAGAATTTCAGCTTGCGATTCAGAAGTGTAACTAAATAATTAATGCGAAATTGAAAAGCAGTCGAAACTAAACCGAATTCCGGTAGTTTATATTTTGAACTTCCGGTTGGAAATATCGTTATTTCATGAATATGTATCGATAAAATAACAAATTTGCGTGCCCTAAACTTTCAGGCACAGCTGCATTATTAAATTAACTCCCGGAGTTTTGAGATATTAACAAATATTACGCGACGCCCATTTTGATACACATTTTCATAATTAAACGCGATAAATCGCATTTTCCCCGACTTTCCAAATTAAATTCGACAATTTTTAACAACCTTTTGCTCAAACAATATTTGCCAAATATGCTGTAACTTATTAAGAAAAAATTACTACAAGGGCTCAAATTACTTAAAACGTTTACGATCTTCTTTGGCAGAAAATAGCCTATTTTGACTTAATATAAAATCAAAAAATGCGTTAAATCATAGAGGCCATGGCCTATGCATATTCTAAATAAAATGCCGCAATTCACATAAATTGTTTTAAAAAAAGTCTTTTAAACTCATATTCTAATTTATCGGGACCATTTTTGGCTCTCTATTAACTACTTGTACTTTTAATTGTTTATCTTACCTGTATGGGTTCTTTGGTGAGCTTTGAGATGCGAACTTTTGGTGTAGACCTTTTTACAACCGAGGAATTGGCACTTATGTATCCTACGCTTGGAGTCGGGGGAATGATCGAGGCGGGAGTGTTTCGTCGTCGCGGCGCCTACCGGCGCCGCCACTGGACTCGTCGGAGCACCACGTGGTACCACGGAAATATACCTATACAAGCAAAACAACAACGTTATTAATGACGATTAAGTAGATATAGTTTTAAATTTCTGTGGGTGAATGTCACGAAATGTCACCCGATGGTGTTACCCCGTGATAATTAATAAAACTAAATGAGTTTGACCTACACTTTTATTGTGATCTTTTATAATTAAGTAGATATTACAGCTCAGGTTCCAGATTTTTAACCGCAATTAATTATTTTTTACAATGTTTTAAAAGTCTAAAACCTATCCTCTGTGACTGTTACTCTTTCTAGGTTAACCTATATGTTTTCAAATATCTGTGGTAGTAAAAGCATACTAAAAATGTTAGTTCACTACTCTCTAAAAATGAATTAGTCAAAAATGACTAATTTCATAGTTATTAGTGGCTGCTTTTTTACTTGTACCATGGTTAACCATGGAATACCATGTAATCCCAAAATTTAACAGCCAATTCTTATGTAAAATTGTTCCCTGAATCCGAAAATAGCGTCAAAAGTTAAAAAAGTGGAACAGTTTTTGAGATATAGTCAATTTTTCATTTAATATGGAACTGACTATATCTTAAAAACTGCCCCAGTTTCATATATTTTGACGGTATTTTCGGATTCAGGGAACAATTTTACATAAGAATTGGCTGTTAAATTTTGGGTTACCATGGTATTTCATGGTTAACCATGGTACAAGTGAAAAAGCAGCCACTAATAACTATGAAATTAGTCATTTTTGACTAATTCATTTTTAGAGAGTAAGTAAATTATATAAATCCAAAGCAATCGATTCAAATATAAATTATTATTAAAAATTAAAAGAAATAATTTATTAACCTTTTATGTAGGTGTTACAAAAATTGATTCTATCCTCCGTGAATGTTTCTGTTTTAAATTTTATGCAACGGATGGCGCTAAATTGATTTAAATGGATTATAAACGCTTTTAAAATTTCAAATCGATATTTTTTTTCGTTCCCCAGAAACTTCTAATGGACCACGAATGTGAAACACCCTGTATATAAACGACCATTCTTTACGAGTTGCACATATTATGTATTTGGTAACGAACAAATTAAAAATACCATATAATACATTAATTAATTTTTTTATATAGGATTTATAAAATTTCTTAAAATGTACATAATAACACCCTGTTTATGTAATTAATGTTATATATTAAAATGGGTTGTTCCTTAGGGTCCATAAAAAAGCACCTGAAACTTTTTTTTTCTAAATTCCAAAGTCTAAAAATAATTTATAATAACCTTTATCCTACCAAAAAGTACGCCACTGATCGACCAGGTTGCCTAATTTAATTTATTATGTTATGGTTGGTAACAACAGTGTTTCCAAAATCTATCAAAAAAGTTGACAAACATTGTTTAAATTTAGCTTAATTACGAAAATGACAAAATTAACAATGCAAAGGTCAATTTGGCGTTTTTATTAATTGTTGGTTATGTCATTTTTGTACTAAAGGCAAATTCAAACAAAATCTGCCAACTTTTATGACAGAATCTAGTGCATTTCTTTCAAATTTTAGGTTATGTGCTCAAATTGTAAATATCTTAACTAAGGGAAGTGCTTTTGGATTTATTTACACAAATTAAAGGTTTAAAGTTTAACCTGTGAACTGGTCCCAATTTCATCTGAGTAAACAGAAAGACAAAAACTGATGAAAAAATTAATTTTGTGGTTATGGATTTTTTAAAATAGGTACTAAATTTGCTTAAGCTAATAGCTGGATGAGTAAATAAATACAGAGGGGTATTAGAGCTTTAAAGGCATAAAACTTTTGTATTTATTGAGTTTTTGTTTATTTTTTGCAAGAGAAATTTTTAGTAACAATTTTTTACATCTGGCAACGCCCAGCTACTTTGTTGGTTGGTATCTATGTACTCATAGAACACAAGTGTGCAGAGATATGCCAAGTGTGTAACCAGTGGCGTATCACAAAAAATATAAAAAACTTCTAATGCATATTTTTTCTTTATCTTTGGAAAAATATTTTTTTATGTATTTTTCCTTTACTCCTTATGTCAAAAGGTATTCAGTATTTTAATATATAACATTAATTACATAGCACCCTGTATACAGGAATGATATTTTAAAACAAGTTAATTATTTTAACCAGTAAATCGTAAACTTATGTTTCTGATTCTTCACTCAATAATAGTATATTAAAGTACAAGTTGCAGAAGGCCACATATTCTCGCACGAATTCAAAATTTGGCCTCGAGCGACGAAGGAGCGAGTGGACGAACGAATTAGTGCGAGAATAGCCTTCTGCAACGTGTGATTTATACTATTTTCTCGATTTTAACTTTTATTTCGGTTTTTTTAATTGTTTTGTGGTCGTTGTTAGTTGGGGGATTTTTCTCGCAAAATGTCAGTTGGTAACATAAAATGACAGTTGCATGGACAGGTAGATTAATTTTTATTTACTATTTATTAATAATTTGTCTGTATTTGTCAACTGGATAATAAGGTTTTGTGTAAGTATTGTATTATTTTTTTATGTTTTCTGATATTTTTGAACAATTGTGTTTACTTTTAGCAGTGAAAAATGTCACAGGAGGTTTTACAAGCAACACCGAACATTACAATAAAAGTTTATAACAATTGTGCTAGTGATTAATTTATAGTAGTTTTGTGTTTTGTGTACTGTGGGTATATAATATTTCCAATAAAATATAGTTTGATTGACCTGTTTGGTCAAAATTTGTTATCCTGCACAAGTACAACCTGAAACTTAAAATTTTGCATTAAAATGCATTGTTGGAGCAAACTTAATACAACAAAACAATAATAAAGTAATTAATTGTTTCGACTTTTACTTGATGAAACTCCATGTTAATATTGATTTATTTTAATATAAACTACACTGTTTAAAAGTTTCACTATTTTATTTAAATATGACAATTGTTTCGCTACACAGTAGCATCTTCAGATCGTATACAAACTAATACGAGTTAAATTTAATAAAACAAATAGCTGTTAATAATGGATATAATCCACAATTAATTAATAACATTTATAATAAAAAAATCCATAAAATAGCAATTAACCTAATATTCCCAATACCTAAGAACCCTATAAATACATACAATACTTTTACGTATTTAGGTACTAATATGAGAAAGTTGTGTACTTTTCTAAACAAAAATAACATAAAATTCACATTTAAAACTAATAATAATTTAAGAAATTTTATTAAAAATAATAAAGATAAGACAAGTAAAAATAATAAATCAGGAGTGTACCAATTAACTTGTGCAGATTGCCCTAAAACGTATATAGGACAAACAGGTCGCTGCTTTAACTAGAATTAACGAACATAGAAAATCATTTATAAACCAAAAAACAGATTCCACTTTTGCTAACCACCTTATTAATGAAAACCATAATTTTAATTCTAACTTTAAAATCCTACACATAGAAAATAAAAGTATGAAACTGAATTTACTGGAGTCGATGGAAATTAACAAATTAAAGAAAAAAACTGATATTATTCTTAATGACCAAATAGATACCAATAATTCCCCGTTATTAAACTTATTTTAATAAATTCAAAAATTTTTAGTGTTATATAACTATAGAGATTACAGGACATCCCCATAATTTTTGTTCCTTTATTGTATAACGTTAATTTAATCTTCCCCAATATTGTACTAAAAATATTACCTGTAAAACCATCATTTATATAAAAGTAAAATAAATATTAGTTTGTATACGATCTGAAGATGCTACTGTGTAGCGAAACAATTGTCATATTTAAATAAAATAGTGAAACTTTTAAACAGTGTAGTTTATATTAAAATAAAACAACAATAATAAAGGCTTCATTTTCAATAAAAGTGTAGTTCAGGTTGCACTAGTGCAGGATAACAAACAAAGCTATTATAAATAATCCTAAAAGTAATGAATTTGAGGTTATTAAATAGTTTGACATTTTGGAGGTACCAATACAAAAAAACTAAATGTTACCAAAAATCGTTTAAGAATGAGCTTCATTCTTCAACGATTTTGCGTGCGAGAATATGACATTCTTACATAAAAATCGAGAAAATATCTATTATGAGATTATCTTACCTCGTGACGCCAGACGTCCGTAACCTGACGATTGCGTTCCTGGGCACGGTGCCCACCCTCAGCCCGCAAACGTCCAGCTCGCTGGCGCTGGAGGAGCCGTTGCTGTTGTGCCCGGGCCCGGATTCCGGACTCGACGGGGGCGTCAGCGTGGCCGCGGAGTTCCGCGTCACCAGCCTGAGCTGGAGCGCGTCGCTCGGGTGGTGGTCGGCGTGGACGCGGCTGTCGTAGCCGTCGTCCTCGTCGTCGTCGTCGATCGGCTCCTGCTTTACCAGGACGGCGCACGAGAGCGCGCCGTCCCAGCTGCAGGGCGAGCTGGCGGAACTCAGCGCGTCCAGGTGCCCGTGGTCGCTGTATTCCTCTATGCAGTTCACCTCGAACCAGGTTTGGTTCGAGGGAAGCTTTTTCAACGATAATTTTGGCTCGTCTTTCAGGTATCGTTCCATTTCATAACATGTCTGAAAAAAATACAACATGTAATATGTCTTAAATATGTCGCAAATAGCACAACTCCATTATAATATTTAATAAAAACAATTATTTTCAAGCAAATTCAAATAAAACATTTGCCATAATTTGTGTTTAACATATTAAGTAATCTTGTATTCGTGAAAAGTTAAAGGGCCTTTTCATCTGTTGACTACACGGAGAAAAATGTATGTTAAAAAACGTATATTAAAATTTGTATAATAAAAAGTAAATTAAATTATTATATAAATTAAAAAACTGGATCTTAATAAGTAAGGCCCGGATTTTAGGTAAAACACCTTTTGTTGGTTTTTTAGGTTTTAAAGATATTTTTTTGTATTTGTCCGTTTTATAAAAAATGGAGTCATCTGACTAAGTTTTATTTGACCTAAAATACCTTTTTTATATTTTTTCCACCTATTTTCCTTTTTTGCACCTAAATTGTATTTTTAATACCTAAAATGAACTTTTTTTACCCGTCCTGTGACGTTGAACGATCATTCTCTTGGTTTAAAAATGTTTTGACTGATAAACGCACTAGCTTTACTTCTGAAAACTTGGAGAAATATTTTGTCTGTCATGCATATAAGCGTTAAATAAATTAATAAAATTTATTTTTTTTTTATTTTAGAGTTCCTATTTTGGTTTTTTTTTGTAATTTTAAAGTTCCTCTTATGTTGTTTTTTGCTATTTTACATTATTTGTGATATGATATATTTACTTTTTTAAAGAATCTTTTATTTTATTTGTTATTTTTCCAACCAAACATTTTTGTTCAGTTAATGTTAATAATAAATATTATTTTAATAACTATTTCATTTTTAATTTAAAACCTTTATTGCCGGACATTAACAGAGGCAATGCAATTATAATGTAACTAAAACTACATAAGACCTATGTATGGTTTTACAACTAGGTATATCGACATTATAATGAAAACATTTTATTTCAATAAATCAGCTTTTATTTTTTTATTTAAGTACCTAAGATGTAGGCACCTAAAATAATAACCTAATTTTATAACTATGTGACCTATTTTTTGCATTTTTTTTTACTTTTTTATAACCTAAAAATACGGGCCAACCAATATTAACTTTTTAATTAAGTACCTAAAATATAGGTACCTAAAATAATAACCTATTTATTAAAAATATCACCTAATTTAAGAACCTTTTATCACTTTTTTATGACCTAAAAATCCGGGCCTTATTAATAAGTATAATAAATAATTATTTATGTCATTAGGTTAACAAGTAACGCTTTTTGTGCTAAGCGGAGGCCTACAATTGAGCGAAGCACAAAAAGGCACTTCTTGGCCGAATGGCATACAACATTTTATCTTTAAAGCACTTTATATAGGTCAATTTAATTCAACATCAAAGCGGCCTAACCTCACTTTTTTAGAATCTCATTTATTTATTAGCTAAAGATTACATTAAATGTACAATAATTATTATTGCTTTTAGAAGCAGTAATAGTTTGACAATACCTAGCAACATGATTTAAGTAGAAATGGATTTTGCTATTACATTGAATTCAATTAATTGTTTAATAAATAGGTAGGTATCTAATTTCAATTTGTTTGGATTTTTATTTAAAAAATAGGTCGTTTGGAATGTTTAAGCTGTGTTTAACATTTAATTTCACTGAAAACTTATAGATAATTTAAATCGTAGAAAAAGAATCGTGCGTTTTCTTGGTTGCCTAACCTCACTTTTTGTTTTATTATTCATATTTAATTTTACAATAATTTAATGAAAACTATTAAACATTAACAGTAAAACAAACAAATTGGGGCTAATTATAAATAAATTAAACCAGTTTAGTACGTTAATTTCTTATAAAAGGATTAATTTGTCAAAATAATACACCTAGCGAGAAAAAATCGAAATAATTACTTGCCTCATAAAAAGTTTTATCGGCCTAGGCCATAACAAGGAATTTCTTTATCGAATGTTGACAACAATAAAGTTTAATACATATATGTATATATATCTATAGAGACCGCATGGAAATAAAATAATATAATCGCCATATGATTGAAGCTATGATAAGTAGTATTATATAATTATACTTTGAACTTAATATTTAGTACAAGTAAAGTAATATGTTAAAGCGGTTTAATATAAAATATTATCCTAATTATATTTTTATATTAAAATTTATCATACGATTTAGGTGTCACTATATTTAACGTAAAATATAATAAATAGCATTATATTTCTAATATCATTTATTATATGTTTTCTCCGTGTATAATCTTAATATCTTTATAGTCAATCTAACAACCAAGGCACTTTCTCATTTAAAAAAACGCATAGCAAGACTATAAAAGAGGAAAACTTAACTTATGAATGCTCTTTGCTGTATTTTTCGTTGGTTTTTGCACAAGTGCGCTTAAGAGCCTGTAAGTGCATTTTTTAATAACCCTAAAAATATTTTCTGTATCATATTTTATATAGTTATTAAAGATAACTCCTATAGCAGCTATTTAAATTTTGGTGTAGAGGTAAATAATTTAATATTTATTGCCAAGAATAAAACTTGAAAGGATATGTAGTACATTTACCATTTAATTTAATATATTAATTTAACAAATGTAATAAAATAAAACTTATTTAACGTTTATGTCAAATAATTAATTAATTATGTCTAAATAATTTTGGAATTTTTCCGAGTACCCAGGAAAATTCAATGGGAAATTTCGGTTTATACGTACATTACGTAAGTCATTATCACAAAGCCATCTATATATATTTTCCAAATCATTGTTAATACATTCTAACATATATAAAACATATTTTCCACACATATACAACATAGTATCATCTGCAAACATACATATTTCATAATTTTGTTTAACAATTTCATTTATATACAAAATAAAAAGAATAGGACTTAACACTGTTCCTTGTGGGACACCAAATGATATCATTGAATTGAGAAATTTTATATTTAACATTTTGAGTTCTGCCAGTTGGATATGTTTTAAACTATTTTAATACAGTTCCCCCAATACCAATCTTAGATAGTTTTCTAAGTAAAAAATTTCTGTTAATAGTTTCAAAGGCTCTACGAAAGTCTAAAAAAACTGCAATGACATATTCACCTTTGTCAAGGGCCTTAAACCAAACATCACTTACATTTATTATCACAGACTTACAGGAATGATTGGATCTAAAACCAGATTCATTGTTAACTTTGTTGACTTTTATAGGATAACCACTTTAGGAAAGTCAAAATTATAGCAGGCAATAGTTAAAATTGTTAAAAAACTAACCGTAACTAAATTAGAGAATTTGTGAATTTATGAATTTATGAATAATTGTGAATAAATATTAAATTTACAAAAATTTATTAATGTATGTTATTTTGAAACTTCCCTTTGTATTGGCATTATTATTTTTTAAACAATGTTTTTTTAAACATAATTTTAAAATGTTTATAAAAATAACAATATTTTATTGCATAAATTAATTAGGAAAATAATATAGGAAACTTAAAATTAACCTTTGAATCAAATATTGTCCACATCATGCATTATTAATAGGAAAGTGAGACAATCCGAATAAAACGCAAGCGTTTATTTATGTTCACACGTTTAGTACAAGAACCACCTGTGTGTTATATGTTTTTAATGAACAGTCAGTTTCGTAATTTATTGTATGTAAATAGAGAGAAATTTAAAATTAAACTTGGCAATCACGATGAATTGTTTAAAACAAAAGATTTAATTACCTTGCTGCAAAATTACTCAATTTATTATAATTTAAAAGTTTAAATTATTATTTTTTATTTAACATTTACAATTTTATTAAGTTAATGTAATTAATTACGACTTCTAAACTCCATAACAAGCTTTTTCTTTCAAGATTTCCAACGATAAAATCAAATAAATGTATTACAAGGTGCAAGCTCCTCCATTTCCAGGAAGGTCTTTAACTTTTTTATCTTAAATGGAATCTTATTCTTTAATATACTTTTAAAAGTTTACAGTCCTTAAGCGACAACTTTAAAATATATAACTTCAGTAAAGTAAGAAATTCACACCGAGCCGTACATAAATGCCTTACTTCTTCAAAGTTACAAACTATACTTGATTTCTTCGTGTCACACTGTCTGAATGTATTTCCGAGCACATAAAATGTTTTAAAAGGCTCAAACACTCTCGCGATTGACTTTAAACTCGACAATTAAATTGATTGAGTACGTAGGGGATAATTCCGAAGAAAAGCTCCATTAACACTGTTTTCTTGCCAGACAAGGACGTTTTAGACGTATAAATTACAGCGCTTGATAAATTTATTAGTGGTATGAGGAAGGAGCAGCGCTACGCAAGAACTACGGTTATCCCAAAACCATTAATGTTATATACAACGCGCTTATTTATTGACTAAGCTTACACTGGAAATCTTTATTAAATATATTTTAGATTATATTAAACATCCAGTGTAACTGGGATATTTATTGTGTTGCTGTAATTGATAAAGTGAAAAGAAGCCAAAAAACAATTTTGCAATAAAATTATAAAAACAAGACCAACTTTTTAAAGTAGCAAACAATGTAAAAAATTAACAAATTTAAGTTTATATATAAATTATAAAACATCAACAGTAATATTTACAGGTTATTACAGGTAAATAAGTACCGTAGTACGGTTTCTTGTAGCGAGAAGCATTTTAAGTTTAAATAACTACACGTTTACTTATAAGTTATTTTTACGGTAAACAAAAACGGTTAAATTACAGTTCAAACAGAAAAAAATACCAAATATGGAGAATGGTTTAATACGTTATTTTTACTACATAATAAATATCCAAGCGATCAAAACAATAACGCAATAAAACAAAATAAATACTACATATTTACCTAAGAACAACGTTAAAATTACTCTATGTCTGTTCTCTCTTTATAAAATTTTTCTTTGTATTTGTCCTTCACGTATATTTCAAAATGGTATAACTAAAGTAGGTAATAAAGTTTACCATAA